TTGTATAGTTGTTTTGTGTAAGAGAAGGGGACAAACGAACGGCGGGAACAACGAGGTGATCAACGACACCGCAACATCAGAGGAACTACAGATCCGTTGCCGGCCTTTAAGGAAATGATATGCTCGATTCTTGAATGACCCTAAGTCGTATTGGTTTGGAAATACCGCCGAGGACGAGAGTTCCACAACGCAGCCGTGTGAGGCAAGAAATTGCGTGAGTACCGCACCGTTGTGGAATGCCAGCCATCCAGATGGTGTGAATGGTACCATGGCGGTTTTGTGTAAGGATTAAAAAAAATAGATCTGTCTGGCCTGCTTAGTCTCTCCTACAAAGTGACAATTTACTTAGTACACGGCTCTTTACTTAGTCTTTTTCTCTACAGTCAACGATTGTAACAGGTCAATCGTGCTACTAACACGGAACTATGCTATTGTCAAAACCTCAAATTATCTACCATTCTACATATACAATGATAGTAAAAGGACAATCGCAATGAAAGGATATTTTAGTGCATTGTTTATCAACGTTTTTTACACGTCGCGCATTTAGTGTTCAAATTTTTTTCACGAGCCAGACGGCAAAAAAATTACCGATCAGACTGCTTGCTGCCAGCGTGTCGCACCATTGCTGTTTAATGGACGATTAAAAACATATTTTAAGAAACTTTAAGTTTTATTCTTTGTTATTCTCACTGTTGATTTACACAACGTAATATAGTCCGACTTTATCTGAACCAGTGTGCATAAATAAAACTAAATAACACACTAGCGCCCCCATGTCAATGTCAAAACAAGATCCTTGTTGAACTATATCATGTCATGTCTTGCCTTTTGTATTATTTCTATACTTAATTACTATGTAGGTTTTTTTTCCGAAAGAACTTTGATGACACCTCACTCACAAGCCAGTGTGGCTATACAAAGTGCAATCGCTCTGAAGCAATTCCATAGCGAACTTCTAATTTGTATAGAACTGACAATAACTTTCGATAAGTCACGTGATTGTCACACGTGAATTCCATGTATTTTTAAAAATTCGTTATGGAATCGCTTCGGAGCGATTGCACTTTGTCTTCCCCCCCCCCCCC